ACATACACACATACTCATGCACGCACACACACGCGCGCACACGCACGCACGCGCGCACCCACGTATGCATGCACGTACACACGCAGTACTTGCCATTATTGGCAATTATTGCTAAACCCCCCAAACACTCAATGTTTCTGTGGTTTATGACTTAGACACTATCTGTAACAATTGCCCTAACCCCATACATTATTATTAGGTAAGGTTTTATTTATTTATAAATAATAATTTTTTCAGCTGTAAAACGTTAGAAGAACCTGACGAAGACTACCACAAGTCGAAACTAGTCGTTCATTGCTAACTCTGTGTAGCATTTTCTCAACATAACCTTTACGTAAAATGGCATAATCAAACTAGCAAATCAAATCCACGTGGGGACTGTCCAGACCTTTTCTTCACGCATGTCCATGATTTTCTTGTAGGGTGGTTCTGCAATGGCTCGTCCGTTGCTCTTTCCCCAGTGTGCGCTTGTATGGCTTTAGGTTTTCTGTCGCGTATAGGAATTGCTGCCGTTGTGCTGCGCGTTCGTTGAGTGTGTCCACCCAGGCTTCTATTTCCCTGGCTTTCGCTGTGGAGCCAGTTATTTGCACCAGCTCCTCGCAGGTGGAAGCCTTTGTTTTGCGTTGTGCTGGATCGTCGCGGTTGCTATGGAGTTGTGGCATAGTCTAAAATTAACCTATGGGGGCCTCGTCGAAGACGTCCTGTGTTGATGTTGAAGTTTCGTTGGGATGTGGCTTATTTTTGAACACACAGTTACGTCAGATGCTGGGTGATTGTGACGTCGTACGCGGGTGTGGAAGGGTCGCCGGGATGTGGGTTATTTTTAGAGCAATAGGTGACGTCAGACCATTGGTGATTATGACGTCCTGCGCTTGTGCCGAAGTGTCACTGGGAGGGGGGTTATGTTTAAAACGTAAGAGCCTTGGTGATTACGACGTCGTGCTCGTTGTGACGTAGCGCATCTAAGAACAAGTTTTCCTGACGTGCTGAGTGCAGTGTGACAGAGTACCGAATGGAAACATGGTATCGTTCTGTAAAACCGGATACGGGGATAAACTTTGTCTATGCATGCGTGCTTGGATCCGGTTCACAGGGATGAAGAAAGCTGTAAAAAAGTAAACCGAACCGCCCGCTACCCTATAGTGTCGGCTAAGACTTAGCCTTGCGTGTATACCATGCTAGTGGGAGGGTTATTACTGTCTTCTATTCATTCCGGAATCTCTACCCGTAGATTGGACTAGTCACTACACCGTGTGGATAGATAATGTTTAGATTGTGAATCCATGCATGCATTAAGCTTCTCTTTTCTTTCTGATGCGGATCGTATGGGGTTGGTCGGTGGGGTTTGAAAATATTCTTCTGCACTGAAAGTCCGCTGGGGTGTGGTTGTCGCGTGAAAAATGAGCACTGATGGGACAATTACATACTGCTAAAAATAGAACAATATTCTGCTATAAATAGGACAATTAATATGCTACTACAGGTAGGACAATTAACATGCTACTACAAATATAGAACAAGTAATATATACTGGCAGAGGTAGGACAATTAATATATACTGCCAGAGGTAGGACTATTAATATATACTGCTATAAGTGGAACAATTATTACGCTGCGGCGTGTACAATTAAAATTTACACGCTGCGGCGTGTAAATGGCATTGTACACTCATTGTGCCACTTGAATGGATCGGCAAACTGTCGCCCAAAGAAAATGACTTAGGGCCGATGTTAAGAATTTAAACTAGAGTGCGGCATGTCTAGAGAAAGTGCGCATCGAAAAATGCACCCTCACTACTTCAATGTTGTCGCACTGCTCTGCCGAAGGTCCCTTGTTATACCAATGTACAGGATGGGGCGCAAAAACGTCGGCGACCTGTCGCCCAAAGGTAATGACTTAGGGCCGGCGTTAAACATTTAATCTAAAGTATGGCATGTCTAAAGAAGGTGCGCATTGAAAAATGCACCCTCGCTACTTCAATGTGGTGGCACTGCTCTGCCGAAGGTCCCTTGTTATGCCAATGTACAGGATGGGGCGCAGAAACGTCGGCGACCTGTCGCCCAATGGAAATGACCTGAGGGCGACGTTAAGCATTTAATCTAGATGGTGGAATGCCTAGAGAAAGTGCGCATCGAAAAATGCAACCACGCTACTTCAATGAGGTGGCACTGCTCTCCCGAAGGCCCTTTGCCATACCAATGTACATGGGTTAGGGTTAGGGTTAGGGTAGGGTCCCTGTATACAGAGAGTTGCGCCATGACGAGTCGGAAAAAATTGGTCACGTGATCGCTGGACGGCATGTTGTTTCCAAATTGATCCACACCGCTGCCGCTTAAGTACAGCGCTGTATGGATACGCTGTACAATGGTCCGTAGTAATTAATTAGACTAATCGTGATTCAATAAACTCAAAATGTACAGAGATTATAGCTAAGACATGTGTCTATGTGTATCTAGATTTCTAGAACTGCAAATCACATGTTACAGCTGCGAGCGAGTGGAGAGTGGAACGCATTTATCTTGTGAATTACAGTTGTCATTATTCTTCCAAAATGACTGGCTGCTGTGTTTACACTAAGAAAGTGTACAATTAAGCTATCATATGGCGCGAACGATTTGAGTTACATTTTTAGAAATCTAGATACATATAAACACATGTGTTATCTATGATCTCTGTGATTCTTGAGGGAAGTTTAATTGAAGCGCGAGTGATTTTAATTCAATTAGCAAGTATGCATACGGCGCGTATCGCACAGGTAATATACCGCACGAGCTATCGGCCGCGTAAGGAGATGTACACATTGAACTAGAGTCAATGGGAATCGCGCGCAACGATTGTGTTAGTTAACCATTATTCTAGAGATCCTAGAGTACACATAGACTCATGTCTTAGCTATAACCCTCTGTAAATTTCCCTGAGTCTTTTTTGAAGTAGCGATAGTCTAATTAATTAGCTACGGACCATTGTAGCAGGCGTATCCATACAGCGCTGTACTTAAGCGGCAGCGTGTGGATCCATTTGGAAACAGACATGAGAGTCAACACTGCTGAGTTGGCGCACTCTCTATCAATAATAGGCGACGGACTAAGGTTAGGTTAGGGTTAGGGTTATAGTTATGGTTTTATGGTATATAGGTTATGGTTAGGGTTATCGGTTTAGGGTTAGAGTCGGATTAAGGTTAGGGTTTGTAGAAATCAAGATTGAAGGCGTTGAGATAGCATCTCTCCGATTTGCGTGGAGTCAATAGTTGAAGGGCGCAAGTCATCTCATTCTGGCAACTGTCTTTAGTGGGGAAATGTTGCCATTTTCCATCTAAATTTACTACTAAACCTGTGCTAATTTTGATTTTATTGGCTTCTGTCTTGTGGTTTGTTGTGCATATGACACGCATGTTAGACTGCAACATTTACAGTTAATTTCTAGCCCTCGTAGTTTCGCCGGACCTTGTTTTATGTTTATGTTGTAGGACAAAAATAAAAACAGATATGAACTGTATTTTTTGTTACTTTTACTCTGTGGTACTTATCTTTCTTTTTTTCTCTCTCTCTTCTCAGTGGTAATTGTCCGGGGTGAATGGCATGAAGGGTAAATGTCCGAGGGCGTAATGTGTCCGGGGGTATTTTTCCTGATA